GAAAATGAAGTTAATCCTGATGTTAATGTTTGTCTATGACATGACCTGTATGAGCAGGAAATAGATTGCAGATCGTAGACGGGAACATTTATAGACTGAGCAATACGTCATAATCATTGGAATGCGGAGATCAAAATGTCACTATCAGTGTATAAATATTTGTATAACGAAAAGCTGCTCCCACTGCCGGACTATTTTTTGTGTATTGTAAGACTGCAGTACTATTATATTCAACACAGCTATAAAAGACAGGGTCAGAATATTAAAAGCATTTTAGAATAAGTTACCTCTCGGTGTTTGTTAAGGGTTTTTTCTGTGACCTTGGGAGGAAGTCAGAGTACCCAGCGAGAACCACCAAACATTACTAAATTTGAGAACAAAAACCGGCAAAAAAGCTAAAAAAAAAGTTATGTATGTGTATATCTTAATTCATCAATTTGGTGTATAATTCACACAAAAAAAGAGAATGATTTTAACGTATATCACTTTCACAATACCATTAACATGGTTTACATGATTAATATTTGTTTACTAAATGTTTGACAATATTTTCAAGAGGTTCTACTGATTTGAAAAAACAAGAAATCTGTGTTGGTCAGATGAATAACTAGTTCTTACTTATCGATAGATTCTATTTTTATTATAATAAGCATGTCATGCCTTTGGTAGTGTATTCCATATAACTTATATGTTCGATGGTCAGCCAGATGTCTAAAAAAACAATTCTAGATTTTATATGCTTTGTTTCTCTAAAAAACCCATTCCAGAAATAGGATACATTTATTGGACTCTACTATGTACTACATTCTGTCTGTTTGTTTATACATGTACTTTCATAGAAGAAATATTAATGCATTATAAAAACACTCATTTACTCTAAGAAATATAAAATGATATTTCTTTAAGTGTTGGAGGCCGTTCAATGACCTATAATTGCTTTATCCATGTCATGTGGACAATGTTCATTCATGGATAGTTTTATCATTTGCAATTATTCCACATATTGTTATTTTATTATAAACTAGCTCATTGTATGTTGAGCAGGATCTGATTACTCCTCCGGGATACTAGGTATCACTCCTGATGTTGGTTGATTTAATTTGTTTTGAAGGTATTTTTTTGTCTGTGAAGTGTTTCGTGGAATGATTTGCCTTTCCGTCCGTTTTTTTCATGTGCATGCCAGTTTCTCGTCGACGTATGACTTAACATTTGTTTTCGTTTTCGTTTTATAAATTCCTTTGCTATGTCATGGCCTTATATAGCTGACTTTACGGTTAAGCTTTTTCTCATTTGGAACTTAGATAAATAGATGTCTCAATCATACCACATCAACACAATGCTGCTCGACCGCTGGCATCAATTTGCTTTCAGACTTTACATTGACGTAGACAATGACTGAAACAATAACTAAAGTATATTGTTCCATTCGAAATTGCCTTTACAAATAAGCCAATAATCTCGAAAAACTAGTGAATAAGGTTTCTTTCTGCTATTTACGATTCATTACCCATAGACGTTTGAATTTAAAATGATGATCATTTAGAGGGAAATAAGAATAGTCTTTGCTTTTTATACAATATATAAAAAACAACAACATTGAAGCACATCTTAATCATAACTTCTTCCGTAATGCACTGTAACACAACTAGTACCCATATGAGTATCGACAGTCTGCTAAAATATCAATTCACCAAACCTCTTGTCGATCAAAGAGTCCTGAATTTTGATAATACCAGTTTTGGTCCAGTTGTTGTAGGAATGAGCATAGTTCTTCATAAATTCAGATGTTTCATGACATAAAACACGTAATAAGTTTAATTAGACGATGTTGCTCATCTTTCTTTTGAGCACTCAAGATTAGATATCTGTAACTTTTAAGATATTGAATAAAAAGATGTGGTGTACTTGTCAACGAAACAACTCTCCGTCAGAGACAAAACAACGTAGGTAATCGTACGGCCTTTAAGAATCAACATCTCATTGACACAGATGAATGATCAAACATTAGCACAATATGTCTGAAAGCCAAATTTTGATGTAGAATGGATGGGTCTGATTTGTAGCTTGTCCTGTCCATATAATTTTTTGTTGTTTGTACGACAAAATAATGATCAAATAACACTGAATGTATTTGTCGTTCTTATCTTGCGTATGATTTTTTTTAAGTTTAAGTATAAACATTACACAAATATTGTGTACGACATCAACATACAATCTTCTACAATAAATAAAATCGTATACTATGTCAAGTTCTCAGTTAGTAAATCTAAAATCGTAAAAAAAAACACACACAGCACGATCAAATTATGTAAACAAATTGTGAGTTTCTTTTCAAATACATAAAATAACAACGACACATACATTCATTGTATTTTGAACATAATTTGGTCGTCCATAAAACTATATATAATATATAAAATGTCCTGTCACTAAACTTAAGCATCAAACTATTGATTGTTTTACATTCAACATGTTCAAATAGTTCATTTAAAACCTGTAAAAAAAATATTTACATAAGCTGTTGCCACGAATATATTTCTCACTTTTTTTCTATTCTGATAGTATGATGTATATGTTGGAATTAAATGGCAAAATATAAAAACTAGCACAAGATGAAACAATTTAATAAAAAAAGGTAATCTAGAATATATATATATATAATATCTGAGTATGAACGTTCAATTAAAAATCTGATTTTTACATACTATCTATATCTCTTTTGTTGTTACCAAAAATATATAAAATGATTACTTTAAACCATGGGTAATGACCTATATCAAATTGAGTGAAGTATTTTATTCAATGATTATTTCGGGTGAAAACTTTTAATCGCCCCTTCTGACATGAATTGCAGAGTTAAATTCATCACAAAACTTAAAAAATAGGTTTTTCATTTGATTATAAGCAGTCATATAGTATAATTGAAAGACCGACGTGATAAACAATTGCTAATGTATTGCTTGCAAATTCCTTTAGACATAAAAATTACCCACCAACGCACAACGACGTGCTTCCAAAATATGCCCGAAATATAAACCATTAAAGTTTTGAATAACCATAACAATAACCTAGCAATTTGAAATTGTTTGGTTTTCAAACTGGAAGCGCTGTTTGCTTTAATATATGAAAGCACGAAAAAATGGCGAGGTACCAGGCGTTTAAACCAATCAGAATCACTTCAGCAAATTATTGATCAATAGGAATAATGTATGCATTACTATTTTCTAAATTTTAGGTACGAGTGTTATAATCAAATCTACATAATTAATGGATAAATCCTTCTGATTCTAACAAAAAACTATCTGAAATGAGCATTATAAAAATGGTTGATTTCTTGATGGACAGCATATTTGTTCCGTTTGGAGGACATGTTTTAACAAGCATTCCCATGGGAACCAACTATGTCCCCTTCTTGTCAACTTGTTCCTTTATTCCTTTCAGGCTGACTTGATACATAAACTTCTTAGGAATAAAAATAAGATGTTTGCAGTACCATTAACTTTACTTTCCACCATAAACATGATATACATGATGTTCTCTCACTAAATAATTCAAAATTTGGTGACAGTTAAGTCTGCCTCATATTTTGTCTAACTTCGTCTTACTATCCAAATTTGATAATGAAGGTTAATTGAAAATAAAACTTAACGACAAAATGAAAGATTTCAGGTTCCAATTTGTAAACTTTCCAATTCTATGTAGCAGCATTCCCAAAGCGCCTGTATACGGAATATATATATCTCCCATTTGATACGACATTTCAAGGCTGTTATTCTCTAACATTATTTCCATGATATAGGGTTGTTGCTCACAGAGAAGCTATTAAACCGAAATTCCAAGTAGTGATGTTTAGAAATTATCCCTTCGCTAATTTTACGGACGCCCTCACGAGTTGGTTGCGTTATGAAATCATTTCACAGATGATTGCGAAATTGTTCCAAATGTCGTAAAAACAATCCAGTCCCTTTCCCCCCGAATGTGACTTACATAATTATAGTAATTATCGGTTTTGTACTACCATGAGCAACACGACGGGTGCTAGATGTGGAGCTTGATCTGCTGACCCTTCCGCAGCACCTAAGATCACCCCCAGTTTTTGGCGGGATTCGTGTTTCTCAGTCTTAAGTTTTCTAAGTTGTGTTTTGTGTGGCTGTTTTTTTTTTATTTGTTAGCTATGGTGTTGTCATTTTACTTTCGACTTAGATAAACGGCTAGGCACCTTTACAGAAGAACCCTTATTTTTAAATCGGAATTGAAGGTTTCATAGTCAATTATATGAATGAACTTAATTAAAAGGTTTTGAATGCTAGTTTATGAAAGTAATATGAATGTATACTCACCTTGTAGGGTTGTTTCTATCAATCAAAATGCTAAATAAAATGACTCAGCTACAATTGAAATACTTTTAAAAAGTACATGAAGTTACTTATGAGCTGTTTATGTTATCTTTAATTAGATAGTTTATCCACTATACTTTCCCAAATTAACTTGAAACTGTAATACTAAGCTGTTTTACTGGTTGATCATTATTTCAACTCTTGATAAAAAAAAATTGTGTATAAGTTTTCCCCCTCAAAATATCATCTTTCCTTAATTAGTCAACATATGGTCGTCAGTAGGACCAGATACTTATTTTTATTAATTTTATTATATGCCACATGCTATCTTACTTTAAAAGGAAGCACGTCTAAATAAATTACAATTTCAATTTACACCTGTTCTTTAAATCATTTTATCCTCAATATATGTATTTTTTTATGATTGGATTTCTGTATTACTAAATACGGCCTTCATTTGTCCTTTATAAACTGATAGAAAGTAATTGAACCACACCTGTTCATCAACTTAAGGCAAGATAGATGTGTATTTACATTTCCAAAGTGTTTATAAACACAAACAAGACTAAACATCAATGAAAAACTATGAATAATTAGTACTATCATGGATTAAAAACACTTATGAAACACATTTTTTTTTATTTTCATAGTCACATTTGATAAATGATTTTTTTTTCAATAGCTTGTTGAAGATATTTACTGATACCTACTCAGAAAGTCTTTCTTCCCTGAAAAAAAAAGTATGAAAGTATCTGTTGTAAAAGTAATCTTATTCAAATTTTATTTCTATAGTTAATAAAATCCATTTCATCAGTGCTGCTGGTTCGAACTATTTTGATTTATTTCATCATCAATTTTCTCGGGTTAGATTTAAATTTGATTTGGATTAATATAATCTTCGAAATCGTATTCTTTCCTTTCACATTTGTTGATTAGAATTAAACACAATAATAAATGAGTTATTTGATATAAATTTCTTCATTTGTTCACATTCATCCTAAATAAAACGTTATTCTTACCAACAATGGTCACATTTGGTATCTGAACAGTGTCTTTTCTGACTGTTTTCTGAAATCAGAGATATGAACATGTAAACTGATGAAACTGGACACGAAGAAAACAAAACGATAAATACACATTTCCAAAATATGTACCTGTGTTTTCTATATTCGTTCAACAATTTATGCTAAATGTCAAACGATGTTTTACATAGAATGTCCATATAATTCATTTCATCTGTAAATACAATGCACATTATATGAAATTCACAACTTCGAAGTATAAACATACTTAATTGTTAAAACTAAAAACATGTTTACAGGACTGAAAATTAAACAAATAAGAAGTCTGTTTAGCGCAAATACAAAGTTGTTGATATTTGTCTCTTTTGGTTTAAGATTGTGTTAGTGTGCTTTGTCTTTATGCCTTTTCGTGTTTCACTGTGTGTTTTTTTAGTGATTAAGATATATATAACACAATATTGACTGTTGTTCTCCTAATTTGACCTTTTAACTATTATGTCTGTTTGTTTTGTTCAGATATCGTTGTCAATATAATGTAATTTTATGTGACTGTTATACAAGTGAGAGGTTTAGATAGCTATTAAACAAAGTTTGATCCACCATTTTCTACATAAGAAAATGTATGTACTAAGTCAGGTATATGACAGTTGTTATCCATTCGTTTGATATGTGTGAGCTTTTGATTTTGCCATGATTAGGGACTTTCCGTTTTAATTTTTTCCTCCGAATTCGGTAGTTTACATTTTGCTAAGCAAAAAGATAACAATATACTAATTTATATTTGGCCGATGTAAAAGTCATCAAATATAAAGTTGGGCAATAAATCTTTATTGTAGACCAACTGAAGTTACAGTGTGCCTTTGGTCAACGAATAAATTTTGGTAGGAGGTTTTTTGGTTCTTTGAATATTCATAATCAAATAAACTTTCTTGAGTAATGACCTGAAGGTATCCCTATAAGTTTTTTTTTGTATTAATTCACACTTTGAAAAATATGGAAGCAGACATTTAATTGCAAACATGTGCATACAACAGTTAATCAGTAACGACAGAACAAGAATTTCAAAGGTATAGTTTCAACCAAAAAAAATCAACGTACAAATCAGTCCTTTACTAGTAAATGGGCTAGGTATGAGTCAGGCAAAAAGGGCAAAAACTATCTATTGACATAACAACACTTGTGTATAGTTTATAACTTACCGGAATGATAGGTCTCCAAATAGAATGAATATTTCTCGTTCTGATACATTCTTTTTGTAATATTTTACTGTCGACATGACTGGTGACTGTTTTTCACCTGCAATGTCTAACTCGGATTTAATATGTTTCAGTTGTGTCAGAAGTTTAGTTACATCGGCAAGTTTCTGGCTCTCGGTAAAGGCAGTCTGACATTTGTGTAACTTTTTTAAATCATTTTGAAAATCAGTTCTAATTGATTGTAAGGCCTTCAGGTTTGCTGTCCCTTTTTCTTCCAATGATGTTGTGAGGGCTTTCACTTTCTGGTCAATCCACTGCTTCATCTGTTTCCCATCTTCTGTGATAGCGCAAATAGCTTCGTTTATGTCGCTCTGATACTTTACCGTGCCTTGTTCAATTTTTTCTAGATTTGTTTTGACACATTTAATCCGTGAGTCCATGACCTTTTTCACTTCAACCTGTAATTCCTGTGTCGATTCGTTGATTTCAGACGTATAATGATTTTTGTGATTTTTGACGATACACATTTTACAGATTGGTATGACACAGTCAACGCAGTAGAATATGAAGTTTTCTTTGTGTATTTTGCATAACGGGCTTTCTTTCGGGACGATTTTTGACTCACTGATAAAAGAATGATTTCTACATATTTTTGACCTTAAATGTAAAGTTTTACAATTTTCACACATCCGTTGGTAGCATTGTTTACAACAGTTATCTCCTGCTCCACTCATGCATATATCACAGGACTTCGAAGCAGATTGTGCCATCATGTGTTGTTTCCCTCAGATAACCATAACCAGGTACATGTATTTCTAATCAATTAAAAGATGTCGGAAATGTTAAACACGAAGTTACGAAATTTTTCTTGAAAACTATCACAAAGTAATCTCAGAATGAAACATTATTTCAAACCGACTATTCTATTTATTTTTTCTAATGTTCTAATTTGAAGTGACTTTGATTTGAAAATTGAAAATTAAATTACAATTACAATTACTTACGTGTTGTACAATGTGAAATTTAATACGTTTATCTATGATAAATATGTTTGATTATCATGTAAATATCATATCTCATGGGTGTTTATATACAGCTGATAATATGTTGTTTTATAGGTCACTACTTATAACGATATCAGTTAATTGTAGTATTGAAAGGTGGTGGTGTGAATTATCTTTAGCTAAAACGTTTATTATTTTCGTTCAAGTTACATTTAGCACTAGTGTGTCGATTGAAATCATAACCATGAACAATAATGATTTTTTTTATAATATCTTTTTAACGATGTATCCTTTTTTTTAATTTCTTTTAATATTTTAAGTTAAAAATTAAGTCATTTGTGTTTCTTTCTTTTTATCCGCATAAAACAATTAACATTTTGTATATGAACGAAAACAAATATTTCAAGAGGTTTCCTTATACTGATAGTAAACTATAATATTAATATAAATTCAGATAAATGCCATCATAAAAGCATATCTAAAGCATAAAATAAAAACAATGATGAAAACCTTTATATTATATTGCTGTTTTGGTGGCCCTTTCAAAGGCTTTTGACTGCCTACAACATGACAAATTGATGGCATGCGGCGTTTCTCTTCTAAAATCATATTCATCAGATAGGGAGCAACAGATGGGCTGATATCCAGAAGGGGGTTCTCTAAGGATCTATCCTTGGGCTCCTCCTTTTAACGATTTTTATAAATGATATATTTGTACTTATCAAAAAGGGGTCACTGTACAATTATGCAGATGATAATACTCTTTTTTTCAGTAGTACTGGTTATAATACTTTCATTTCAACATTGGAATCTGAGTCAACTCAACTAATAAAATGATTCAGGGTGGATAAGATGCAAGCAAACCCTGATAAATTTCAAGTTTTGGTTGGTGGTAAACATACATTTAATACAAATCTTTGTATTCATGTTCAAAACACTGAAACTTCATGTGAAACTATTGTTAAATTACTTGGTATAAATATATACTATGAACTAAATTTGGATGTGCATACAAGTAAGATCTGCAGGAAGGCATCCCAGCAACTGAATATCCTCAAACGTTTAGGCACGTTTTGGAACAAACTAAGTAAATTAACCTTTTGTCATTCATTTGTTTTGAGTAATTTCAGCTTTTGCCCATTGGCACAATTCTACACAGAGAAAAACATTGAAAAAAAATGAAAAAGTGCAAGAAAAATTTGCTTTGCCATGCTTGTGTTGTTCTTACTTTTATGTGTGTTTCTCTATTTTTTGTTTGCTTGCATGATGATGCTTTTTATATTGTTGTATATTTTTGTATGTATTCGGTTAAAAGCGCTGTAGAATTTATATTTTGTCGTTTGGATTTATACCGAATCTAAATAAAGTTTTGTATGCAGTATAATTCTCGAAATGTGTTTGAAGGACCAGCAGATCAGCTGTATTTGTCATTGCAAAAAATAATTTTTTTGATAAGTAATCAAAAAAATTATTTATACGAAGATCCAATTGAAAAAGGTATATTGATGACATTGAGTGAAATAGAAGAAATATATCAAATTTTATTTATAAATAAATGTTAAATATCCATGCTAAACCAAAGCAAATGCATAATTCAGGTATCGCATGAACTTTTATTTTTTTAATCTAAAAAAAAATAGTACGTATTAAATTTATATGTTTAATTGGTAGGTTAGATAATCAGACATGATTCTAAAATCCGACCTATCAAGGACCATTCCACTAAAGTTTGGTTTAATTCGGCCAAGTTGTTTCGCGGAGAAGATTTTTTAAACGAGTGTTTGACATATTTTCTATTTTCAGTAATGGTGTCATTGCTGGAATGCAAAATTATCAAACGACAACAAGCCTTATCAGTTTTTGCTATTTTAAGTCTGATGATATGTCACAAACCTATGATTGTATCAATTTCATTTTACATAACAGTGTCCATCTTGGTTAAAAGGTGGACATAATTTTGAAAGGGGAACATTCAAGGATTATTCCACCAACGTTCGTTTTCAATTAGGACAGTAGTAAAAGAGGAAAGAATTTAACATTGAGTGAAGCAAATTCCTCTGTGAATAATATTTTAATTAAAAGTGCTATTAAACAAACTAAGACTTCATCTGTACATATATATATATATACACTATATATTATTATATTTGGTCGTTGCTGCTAGACACACAGATACTAGATGCTCCAAGATGTTTGCAATCGCGCAGCTTGTTCACAGCAGATCTATAATTTAAAGAAATTGGAATATGAAGTATTGGAAGTGTCAATGAAAGTATCATAAGACATTTCATATAGGACATTATATAATGATGGTTTGATGACTGTGCTGAGACATGAATTAAGAAGTAAACCAAAGATGTCTTTGATTGTCCTAAGACCATTTAACGAGGGTCTGGATAAGGATCCTTCACTTCTCTATTCTTTATATGTTCTGTCCATTATTCTCTATTCTTTATATTTGAGTCCAATTATTCTCTATTATTTATCTTGTTTGCCCTTTCTGTGTGACCGTACATGGCCTTTTGATATACAACATTTCTGTTCCAATCCAATATCGTATGATATAATTTTGCGGTCAGTCAAATTTCCACTTGACGTTCCTGTCGACTCATACTTTGAAGAGGTGGCGTGAATCAGATGTGGATACTAAAATATTCCAAAGATCTTTTAGAGTACATACAATCTAAGACTCTCTCATCTTGCAATAGTATTAAAACATTTGACTTTTCTACACTTTACACAAGTATTCCCCATTCCAAACTAAAAGACAAATTGAAAGAGTTGGTATTGCTTTGTTTCATATAAAAGAATGGCGAATGTAGATACAAGTATCTTATCTTGGGGAGGGATAAATCGTACTTTGTACAGAATCACTCTAATTCAAACAAAACATTATCTGAAACTGACGTTATCAAGATGCTTGATTTCTCGATTGGCACCATATTTGTTACGTTTGGAGGACGTGTTTTTCAACAGACTGTCGGCATTCCAATGGGAACCAAGTGTGCCCCTCTTCTTGTCGACTTGTTTCTTTATTATTATGAGGCTGACTTCATACACGAACTTCTTAGGAAGAAATATAAGAAGTTAGCAATATCCTGTAACTTTACTTTCCGCTATATAGATGATGTTCTCCATGTTCTCATTATTCAAAATTTGGTGACTATGTTGAACGCATCTATCCCATCGAACTAGAGATAAAGGTTACACCAGATATAGCTAAGTCTTCTTCATATCTTGACTTACATCTAGAAATTGACAATGAGGTTCGGTTGAAAACAGAACTTTACGACAAAAGAGATGATTTCAGCTTCCCAATTGTGAACATTCCATTTCTATGTAGCAACATTCTAGCAGCGCCTGCATACGGAGTATATATCTCCCAATTGATACGATATTCCCGGGCTTGTATTTCCTATCATGATTTCCTTGATAGAGGGTTGTTGCTCACAAAAAACCTATTAAACCAAGAGTTCCAAATGGTGAAGTTGAAATCATCCCTTCGTAAATTTTACGGACGCCATCACGAGTTGGTTGACCGTTATGGAATTACCGTTTCACAGATGATATCGGATATGTTCCTTATGTCGTAATTACAGTCCACGTCCTTGCAATAACATGAGCAACACGAAGGGTGCCACATGTGGAGCAGGATCTGCTTACCCTTCCAGTTTTTGGTGGGGTTCGTGTTGCTTAGTCTTCAGTCTTCTATGTTGTGTCTTGTGTAGTATTATTTGTCTTTTTGTCTTTTTAATTTTTAGCCATGGCGTTGTGAGTTTATTTTCGATCTATGAGTTTGATTGTCCCTCTGGTATCTTTCGCCCCTCTTTTGAAGGACATACCTATCGTATTTACTGTTAATTGGTTCTCGTCCTGACATGGATGAAATATCTGTCACTGGATGTATATGAAACTGAAAGCCAACAACCAATCAATTTTGGCATCTTTTAAAGAACCAAGAAAGCTCTCTCTATTGCTGAAACGAAAATAACCTTCAAGAAAATTCAGTTTCTTACAACACTGTGACAATCATGCGTGCTTAAAATTATTGTGACCACAACTGGAACAGTAAATACCGTAGAAACAAATCAATCCTTAAATCAGACAATAAGCTTAATAAATAAAATTTCAAACACAATACATCTATTTAGATCTATTATTTTTATTTTCAGTTATGGGGTGGCCAATGATATGTGTAACACAACTCGACACTATATTGGAAGGAAATCAAGGAAACTTAGTAGGAGGAGAAATGGAAAACTTATGTTGTGTATGTCATTTTTAATATGGGTCTGATCCGAAAAGTATCGATTAGTGAGTACTAGAATACAAAATCAGTATCGCAGTCAACGCCTTGGTTCAGGTGTATGTTTTCAAGAAACCGCTTTCAAAACGTCTTAAAATTTCTCCGACTTGTTTGTGATAACAGACTCCATAATCGTTATAACCAAAACTATCGTCTTGCACAAAGATATTTTGGCTTTAATATTGATTCACTTATAGGGTCTTTGCATCGGAATTACACATATTTATTCTAAAATCAGTTGTTGGCATGACACGGGTCATGTTTTCTCATATATTTTATGATGGTATAATACTAAACCCCTAA